TTGGTTGCATTTGGGATAGGTTGGTGGCGTTTTTCAAACTGTTGTTATCCAGAATTTTGCCTCTTTGCTCGAGCGACACTTTCTGCACTCGAGCAGTCCTTGTGTACTCTTAGTATTTTTGCAGGTCTGCAAAAAGTATTGAAAGTTGGCATTCTTTGCTCGAGCAGTGGTCTTCTATCTGTAAAACTTCCGGGAGTTGGTATTCTTTGCTTGAGCGAACCTTCTTGTGCTTGAGCGGTGCAACTTATTGTGTCTGGTCGCTCGAGCGACACTTCTTGCGCTCGAGCGATCTGCACATATATAAGTTCGTAAAGTCACTTTTCTGAGTCACTTTTCACTTCTCTCTCTCTCTCTCTAAACATTTCAAAACCCTATTTTCTCTCTCTCTCTCTCTCTCTCTCTCTCTCTATCTATCTATCTAAAACTCACCTATTTCCCTTGAATTCACCTAGATCTGTCAATCTTTTCACTCGTGTCCCTTTGTTAAAAAGATAGAGCTCAACGAGGGCTTCGTTCTAATCGGAGTAAAGTTGATTTTCGGTGTCTTTGAGTTTCCCACACTCTCTCTCATGTTCTAGCTTGAGGTAGAGATTGCTCCACACTTCCTTATGATTTTTAACTTAGCTATTTGTGTTTTGGAACAATATTGTGAGTTGGGGGAACTTTTGAACAAATCTAGGGTTTTTGGTCAAAACTCAAAAGAGGGGTTTTCTACTAGTTTCATGAAAGTGGTTGTGGGATTAGAAATGAAGCTGAGTTGTGATAAAATAGTTGATTTCGATATGTGGAATTGATTTTGGAAGAAAATGGGGTTTTTCCCTAATTTTATCAAATGTTAATTTTATATAAATTGTGGAATTGGTGTGGGAAATATGAAATTCGATTGGTTTTGATGAGGATGGTGGAGTTGGGTATGTATTACCACTCATATCTTGGAAATTAGAAAGTCTATCTCTATGGAAATTAATTATCTATTTAGAGATATCTGTTTTGGGCTATCGGTAGAGGATAACTATGATTATTGTAGAAATTGCATGAGAATTAGGGAAATTGAATCTATTTTCTCATTCATTTCATTGAGCATTGTTGCATATTCAACACATTTGAAAATATGGTTGTTTTGAGAAAAATTGGTGAATACCTTGGTGAATCTGGGTAGGAATGTAGTTGTGATATTAAGTTGGCTTGTGTGTCCTTGGTGAAAGACCAAAAATCCGTACGAATAGGTGTCAAGTCTTTCAGTTAATATCGATAAAAATGACAAATTGGTAATACTTGTATAGTCTACTGGCAGACACATCCTAGAGATTTATAGTATTGTATTCATTGCACTGTTTTCTATTGTAACGGAAATGGTATCAAGTATTGAGAGGTAAACTTGGCATTGCACGATTTTGAAAGGAGAAAATGAAAATATTTTGGCATGAGCATTGCATATGCATTCACCTTATATCTTTGTTAATGTTCATAAACTATGTTGTAGTATCTCTATTGGGCTTTGGTTCACCCTATGCGGAAAAATCATTTTCAAGTGCTGATGACATGCCTCCACTAAGGCAATAGCTTTCGGGAGGACTTGGAGTAAGAGCATCATTTAGTGTAGTTATTGTATTTATTTTTTTACAAGCCAATGGCTTTAACTGTATTGGATTCGAATCCACTTTGTTATAACCAAATATTAACTTGGAAAGCTGTAAGCCCTTAGGGCATTTCTTACATGTTTAACTTCCATCCTATTTCTTTATTCTGCAACATATGCTACAGATTCAAGGCCCGTCTTGTGAATGTATATCCACATATGTTATCCTTTTGTAAACTTAATTTGACTTAATGGAAGATAATTACTTCACCATTGTTGTTATTTATTAATGTTGTGGATGGGTTACTGTCTTTATTTTCAGGCTGTGACATTTAGCGACAACGATGATAGAGTTTTGTAATGTATTTTACACAAAGATAAGCATTACAAGTGGAAAAACGTGTTCTTGGCTAAACAGACGATTCCGGATGCAACCAAGAACTTCGTTTTTGCAGATTGAGATAATTTGTAATTGTAACAGTTGCATTTTAACTTGTAGTAGTTTTAATTTGTAATTTGTAATAGTTTCACCATAGTGGAAAGGGGAAAGGAAAGATGTTTATAAACCTTCAGGTTTAGAGAAAATCTTTGGGATTAATTTTATTATTCCTCAATGGTTTGATTTTATGTAATAGAAACCAAAGTGTTTAGCCTTGGCTAAAAAGTATTTCTGAGTTATCTTTAGAAATGAAAACTAAAATGGATTTGGTTTCAAACCTTTGTGCTTAGAGGAAGTATTTGGGTTTAATCTTTTTATTTCCAAAGTGGTAGGAAACCAAGTTTTGAGAAAGTCTTTGGTTATAATTTGATTATTTCCAAAGTGTTTTGTTTTGAAAAAAGAAACCAAATTTTAGCATTAGCTAAAATACTTTTGATTTTTATTCAGAAATAATAGGCTCAGTTCTGAGAGTACTGGTTAACTTTTATGAGTGGTGTAATTTTGATAGTAATTTTTAATTGCTTGTAAGTTTTGTAAACTTGATATGTTTTAACCTAGTTTATCTCCGGAAAACCTTAATTTTAAAGTTGTTTCCTATGGACTAGGAATCAAATGCTCTTGAAAGTTTTGTGTAAGGTTAATTGTGTCTTAAGTGGGACCGGTGTGACTCCTCTAGTCTTCTTGGAAACTTTCCTAACCATGTTTGATTCTAAGATAAGTGGTGAGATCATGTTTTAATTAAATTTTAGACATTGGATTTTCTAGTGTTAAGTTTAGTTTTTGAAAAAATAGAATAGTGAATTTTTATTGTGATTTTTCATAAATGGCTTCAAGAGGTGACAACAAAAAATGTTGTTCCACCGGACAACCTTGAGTCTTGCAAGGTTCTTAAAGAAAGATCTAGATGGATCAAGTGTGATTAAAGGAAATAATAAGATTACAAGATAATATCTCTGAATTAATTAGAGGCAATTAGTATGTTATCCTTGTGTCAATTATAGCATGTATGATTGCTATGTGACTTTGCTTAAGAACAAAGATGAGACAATCCGTTAGGGTGTGTGAATATATTTTTTGAATTTTTATAATTCTGAATATATTCTTAAATTGGTGGCGAGTGCAATATCACTAATCACAGAGATAAAAAACTGGTGGTTTCTAGGGGGTGTTAGACCATTGATTACTCAGTTATGAGATTGTGGTTCTTAGTAGTGAATAGATTACTGATCATATGTCAAGACATAATGATTCCTAGTAATGAAAGAGTCTACTGATCCTATGTCAAAATGTTGTGATTCCTAGTAGTGGAGTGACCAAGGCCGGCCCTGAGATTTGTGGGGCCTAAGGCGAACTATAAAAATGGGGCCCCTCTAATATATTTTTTTTTAATAAAAAATTTATGTATAAAATGATAAGTATCCACAATTTTTTTTATTTAAGTACACTTGAACATATAATCATTAAAATTATAAACTAAAATTTACTTTCGTATACTTGAATTAATTGTTCTACTTTCATCCTCTTCTTTCTCTTTTCATTTCCAGAACTATACTTCCTAGGAAACATGGCTATAATCACAAACACTTCAATCCACAAATCACAAACACTGCAAATCAATCCACAAATCACAAACACTTCAATCCACAAATCACAATCCACTGATCTGATAGCAAATAAATTATAAAAAAAATTAATGAAACAAAATTAGGGCAAAAAATTTATTCAATTAAAACTGATAAATACCTAGGTAAAAAAATTAGGGCTAAATTATTTATTCCACTAAAATCTAATGGATAAAGAAGGTAAAAAAAAATTAGGGCAAATTTATTATTCCACTAACTGATAGAGAAAGAATGTAGAAAAAAAAATTAGAGTAACTTTATTTAATAAAATCTAATAGTGAGAGAGAAGATTTACGATGAGAGAGAGTGTGTGAGAGAGAGTGAGTTGCCGGAGGAGTGAATGAAAGAGAAAGAGTGAGTCGCTCACAACAATGTTGTGCTCTGCGTCTACCTTGCCTTGAACTTGGTACATATTGCCGTGATCTTCATTTCATTACTTCGTTAAAGAGAGAGAGATTGAAAGCAAAACAGTGCACTGAAGTGAAAGTGATGTTGTATATAGTGTATGTATGGTTTGGGTTGGGCCCAAACACTTCTTATGTTTTTGTTTTGTTTTTTTTTTATATGTTTTCATTTTAATAAATATGGGCCAAACACATTTATAAATAAATATGAGCTAAATTTTACATGGGCCCAATAAAACATTTTGGGGCCCTTTAAATTGATCTTAAAAAAAAAAAACAAAAAAAAAGGGGGGTTGGGCCTATAACAATTTATTAAATTTGGAGGCCTTTTTTTTGGGCCAAAATTTGGGGCCTAAAGCACAAGCCTTACCTGCCTTAGGTTAGGGCCGGCCCTGGGAGTGACTACTGATCACATATAAGGATATTGTGATTCTTAGTAGTAAATTTTTAAACACACACTTAACATACGTTTTAACATCTCCATTGTAGTACTTATTCACTCTCTAAATTAACATACACATAAAATGGGTTCACTTTTATTGTTTTATGTTAGTTAACACACTAATACACAATTTTAACACCTCCATTGGTGAAGCTCTAACCTAAATTGTGGTGGGTACAATCGACTCATTTTGCCTTTTAGGTATCCCAAAATTAATGACTAATTATCTGGGTTGCTTATAATGCAATTGTTTTACTTGGTTATGACATTAACTTTTATGATTTTTTATACAATGCAAAATAAAACTTGACTGCCATTTCTTTGACGACATAAACACAAAGTTGAAACTAGTGTGATCTTAACTGCTTTAATCCCGACACTGATTTTTCCTAGAGTGACTAGGGATTGGTTATCCTGAAGCAATCTATGTAAGATGCATTCCTTTAATTTCAGCTGCTTCCTGTATAAGAAGTGATGTTGTATTGTATTGTTTGATATTATGGCTTTGTTTTGACTTCATACAGTTGGGGCTGAGGCTGATGATGATAGGATTCAGCTCCTTTTGTCGGAGGTCAAGGGTAAGGATATAACAGAGCTCATTGCATCTGGACGGGAGAAGTTGGCATCAGTTCCTTCTGGTGGCGGTGGTGCTGTTGCAGTGATCTCATATGGTGGTGGTACTGCTGCAGCAGCTCCAGCAGCAGCTGAGCCCAAGAAAGAGGAAAAGGTGGAAGACAAAGAGGAGTCAGATGATGTAAGTTTTTATCCACTTAATCACATTGTTGCTGGAATTCTGAGATTTGACATCTCATTTCGCCCAACTACTTATGTTATCTCAGTTCTCCTCGCATCTTACATGGTTATCTGAGCTTCAACCTGTTTACTCGAATTCTGAGACTATATTGTCCATTCATTTTAGATAAAAGGTGAATATTATAGTTAGTGTCATATGAGGTGCCACAGCAGATGGTTCCAAAATATGCTATTCAAATATGACCAATCTAGCATTATTCTATTTTTAAATTGTTGTGCGCATTCATGCATGTTCTTTGCATATGAACAACTTTCAAACATAATGGTATTGATTTTTCTTGTCTTCTAACTTGCTGCAGGATATGGGCTTCAGTCTTTTTGACTAAAGGGTTCAGATTCCTTCTTTCCTCCACAATTCAGAGTAATGTATGCTTGAACTTTTTGTTATGCAGAGTGACTGTAGTTTTTGGTTTTTTATTTGGTAGAAAAAAGCTTGGCAAATTAAAAAAAATGCTGCAACTCTACTGGTCATATTTTTGTTTGTTTTATTAAACTAGTGAATTTTATGTTCTATTCCAAATGTGTCTAATTTAATGTTGGGGGAATTACATGCAGGTGAGATTTGGGAAAAAAAAATTACCAATACATGGAGGGGTGCAAGTGACACTTGCACATCCACAGCCTTTCATTTGCACCCTACCACATATGTACACTTGCACCCTCATGTGTTTGTAATTTTTTTTCTTAACTCCCACCTACATGTAGTTTCCCTTTAATGTTTTTGATGAATTATTGGTTTTGTTGGTGTGATTTTGGTGTTAGTGTTCCAATTATACAAGGGTATGTGCTTAGTCTGTCATGCAGGCTTCTAACAATAGTCTTTCTTGCAGATTACTACTATATGCACTGCTCTTGATTTTAGAAAAAATCAATCTATGAATTAGTTAGGATAGGAATTTTTACTTGTTGCAAGGTTTTAGATTTGAAACAAATCAATAAATTAGCATTTAAATTAATAAAATTTAAGATTTATTTTGTTAGAAGGTTCAAATCTTAAGGATTTATAGTGTTCGTATATATATCAAAATTTTTGCTAGTATATATTTTTACCGGTTTTAAATTAAAACCCTAAGTTCGTCTATATATATATATGTATATTATAATAATATTTTTTTCTCATGATGTGGCATAGTTTGCAAATTAATGGTTGATAGTTGATGTTATGTTTTATCACTAATCCAACAATGTAGGGCCTTGTTTGCTACAAAACGGTTTATTTTAATTTAAGAGTTTATATCATGCTATTTAGTGCAATTTTTGTTTATAATTTATTGGGCAAAAATAACTTAAATAAGTTGAAAATTTTGATTATTTGAAAGTTAGAGAAATGGTGGTTTAGTTTCTATTTTTTAATTATCAAGTTTTAATTTACAATAAACTACACCAAACATGACTTAGACCATCTCCAATGGTTCATTAATTCTTTCATCAAATTTAAATTTGATGAAAAAATTACTTTTTTTTTTTGCTCCAATGATTTCATCAAATTAGTATTAAATCAATGATATCAAAAATCTTTTATCAAATTGAGGACGTCTGGAGCTTTCATCAAATTACTATTCATAATCGTTGGATTTTTACCATCGGATGTCCTCTCGGATGACTATCTCTAGACAAAAATTTGTGAAAAAAATACACTGGACGATCAATCGGTTGGACATTCGTCCGGTCATCCAGTGTTTTGATGAAAGTCCAAAATCTTCAATTAGAGCACTTGATATCAAATGGAGTTTTTACTCAAATTTAATTTTAAAAAAAAAATAAAAATGAGCAGTTGGAGATGCTCTTATAATGAGTTACTATGAAAAATATGAAAAAAAAGTAGGAAATTCTTTTGGGTGCACTGCACAGTATCCTAAAAAGAAATGAGGATTATAACATTATTCATCTTGTTTGTCTTTAGAAATGAAGATTATAACATTATTCATCTTGTTTGTCCTTAGAAAATTAAGTTCACTCTTTAAAAAATTGAATTTTTTGTTTTTTCGTTTTTAGTATCCTAAGAGTTTTCTTATAAACCAGTTAGTTTCATTAATTTTGAAAAAATAAATTTAATATATTATTTGAAAATTAGCTTTACAGTTATACCTTTATTTCTATTTTGTTTTCTTTCCCTTTTTTTTTTTTTTGGGTACTAGAAAGGTAAGATACATAACTTATGAGAATCAAATTTGAGATAATTTTTTATGCGAATCTTTTTTATTTTGAATGAGTTGAAATATGGAATTCTTCAAACATTCTAAAATGATGTGAGATTTTTCAAATATTTCAAAAGAAATGCAAAAATTCCTTAGTAAGCTTTGAACAAATGTATAATTTCAATCTGTAACACTCTAATGTAACACTTCGAAAAACTTTAGCGTAACACTACAATGTAACACAAAAATATTTTTTAGTGTACTTTTTTCAAACGTAACATTCCAATATAACACTAAAAAAAATGATATGGGATTCTTCAAACCATTCTAAAAAAGTGTGGGATTCTTCAAATCATTCTAAAAGGAGTACAAAAATTTCTCAATAAACTTTGGGTAAATGTATAATTTCAAACTGTGAGTATTATATTTGCAAAAGTACATTAAGTAGTTTTTTAGTGTTTTTACGTGTGTTACATTAGAGTGTTACATTTGAGATTATATTAATTGGAGTGTTATGTTTGGAAAAAGTACACTAAGAATTTTTTTTTGTATTACATTGGAGTCTTACGTTTAGGAAAAGTTTATAGTGTTAAATTGTTACGTTTGAGAAAAGTACATTAAGAACTTTTTTAATGTGTTACATTGGAGTATTATGTTATTGGAGTGCAATATTGTAGTGTTACGTTCTTTTTCGTAATGTGGGACTTGTTCCAAAAGGAAGGAATCCAAAACCTCTATAGTGAAGATTGCTTAAATGTGTAATTTCACATTTGGAGAAATCCATTTTTTTTTCTTAAAAACTTAAACCCAAATGTGTAAGCGACTACCATTTTGTGTAATTTCCACTTTAATGGGACCTTTAAATTTATATGAAAAAAGGGGGGACAAAAAAGTTCACAAGATTACATTTTAAGATTTATTAGTATTTCACCCTAAAAAGTATAATATTTATGATTTTTTTTTTAAAAAAAAGAATTTATCAAATACAAAAAATATAAAAATTTAGTACATTTTCGTTTTTTTTTTATATTTATTGAATTTTTTAAATATTTTTTTCCAATTATTTTACTCTTTAAATGAATCTAAGTAATGCGTATTTAGAAGTAAAAACTTTACTTAAAATATTAATAAAATTTACTAAAATCAAAAAAATAAAAAATAAAAAACTCAATTTTTAGAAAATCAATCAAAACCAAACAAGGTGATTGTATTTGTCTACATCATTAAACATATTTTGAGTCACTCACAACATTCTGATTAAATTACAAATATAAAACTGTCATATTTATACCAAAAAACGAAACTCTGTTTGTATTTTTTTTTTTTTCACTACCATATGTATCTGGACTCATCCTAAAGTTGTACAAAAGAAGAAATCAAAATACTAATCATTGTGAGCGGACAATTATCTTCATTGCCTTCTGGTACTCTTCTACTTCCTTGATCAACAAGTCCAACAAATCAAACCATGGCCCTTTGAGAGTATTATAGGTGTATTGCTTTTGGGAATGTACTCGGATCACCCTCAGCAATCTTGTTTTTGTGACCCTCAAGAAAGTTCCAAACAAGCGAAACATGACTTTGAATTCACAACCCCCGGCATCAACCACACTTGATTCTTCAGATGCCTGCAATTGTACAACACCATAGAAGACCAATTCTTTCTCAGACACACAGTCCGCACAACCCCATCCATTTTATGCCTTATTTGAGAACAAGTTATTTTAGTAATTTTTTTCTATTTTTGACTTTTTATGAAAAGATATGTAGAAAAGTACAAAAAGTGATGTGACAATTTATAGTGATTTTTTAGCTTTTTGACTAAAACATGTAGTTACCAAACGAGACCTTAATAGTCTCTTTAGGTGCATAGTCGAGTTGAAACACATTATAGCATAATTCTCGTCCACCAAGTCGATATCGTTGAAGGCACCATAAAAGTCACGATTTCAAAGTTAGAAGAAAAGAACAAATGGAGGAAGGAGGTTGGAAGCCAGTGATACGCAAGCACGGAGGTGCAAGGAGTATGCATCAAAGATCGGAGTCAGGCATCTACATTGTTTTTGTTGACAACCTACTAGAGTCAATGGAACCCAAAGGGCTGTATACTTTGTTCAACAACTTCGGAGTGGTGCAAGATGTATTCATACCCCATAAAAGAAGGAAGATGACGCGCTCAAGGTTTGGATTTGTGAGATATAATTGTTCAATTGCAGCAAGCATGGCAGTCCAGAAAGCAAATGGATTATGGTGTGATAACAGAGCTTTGAAAGTGAAAGCTGTAGATTTTGTTAGACGTAAAGAAGCACATAAAAGGCCTCTATATCTACCAACTCAAAGACAGGATATGAGAGGTGCTGGACAGGTTTCTTGGAAGATAAAAGGTAAGGAATTTTATGCCCATGTTGTAAGTGGAAAAAGATCTATCGCTAGTGCAAACTTAACTCTCAAAGTATATGAAGTAGGGAATGGATGGTTGTACAATAGTGCAATTGTGTGATTAAAATCGTTGTGCTGTGGGGTAGATTTCCAAAAAGAGTTGAGGACTAGAGGCATAGTTCTAAATATCGGCCGATACGTATCGGAAAAATGGGGTACCGTGACGGATACAGGCCGATATACCACTGAGATTGAAAATCACAGGAGTATTGGCCGAGTCCCGGTACGTATCGGCCTGTAAGCGTTACACAAGCCGCAATGGGCCGATACTCACCGGTTCGGACCGGTACGAGAAAGAAAAAGTTGAAATACCTTTGAAATGATTTTTAAAATTTCACTACCGCGACACCCGATTCCCGATACGTACCGATCGATACTACCGATACCAATACTCCGCGATCGATACCGTTACGTTACCCGATACCGCGATTTAGAACCTTGACTAGAGGCATGGAGGACATTGAGGTTCAAGATGGAGGGGGTAAGGACATAGTTCTATCATTTCAATCAGTGGAACGCATGAGAGAAAAACTCAAGAAAATGGAGGTTTGGGTAAAGGAATGGTCTGAATCGATCACGGAATGGAAACAGAGGATGGCCATTGAACAAGAAAGAGCTGTCTGGTTGAGTTGTTATGGTGTTACCTTAAACTTATGGAACAACAACACTTTTTATGCAATAGGCAGATTATGAGGGGAAGTGATTGGTCTGGATGATGATACTTCTAATATGAAAAACTTGATCTGTGGCAAGGTAAGAATAGGCGCAAAGTGCATGGAATCCATCAACAAAACTAAAAATTTGGACTGCAAAAGTGTGTTGTATCCGATAAAAGTATGTGGAGATCAGATTGTTACTGCGAAGGTGGTGAATAAACAATGCATGTGTCATCACCAACACGGTAATAGTGCCAATCATAGCTCTAATGGTGATAAAGATGTCCAGACGGCTGAAGTAGCAAGCAAGCATGAAGATGATGATAATGACATGGAGGCGCAAGCTGGCAATGAGGTGGATGGAAATGGTGACCTAGAGGTAAGGGTCAGCGAAACAAGGAATGATGATTATAATGTCAGGGGAGGGGAGGCTACCTGCACGAGCACGTCTGTGGTGGTTGAAACTGTCAGCGGTATGGGGAAAGAAATTTCTGGGGGTGCATGCGTGGGTAGGGAGGTAGCTTTGGTGATAAGCCCTATAAACGTTCAAAATGGGGGAAGCAGAACTGTTGAGGATGAAATCATTACCCCAAGCTTCATGAAAAGTCTAAGTGGATCTGAATGAATAAAGCCCATGAATTGAAGTGTGCACAAACCCAAACCCACAGAGCACCTGAAAGCAGCAAATTGGGGGCCCAGTCCAACGTAGAAGAGTCTATTCAACCTTGCAGTGGAGAAGAAGCACAAACTTGTAATGTAAGAGAGGAAAGTAGTGAAATCATGGGTGCTTCTGCAGAATCAATTCGGATGAGAGTTACAAGCAAGAAGGAGAAAGCCAAAGAAACCTCAAGCAAACATCACAAAAAGAAAGGAAGTCTTCAAAGGGGTCAAAAACTTGGAGGAACTTTATTAAATTTGAAGAGAGGAGCTGTGTTTAGGTCTGCGGTGGCTGCAATATCCCTCTTAACAGCAAATGAATCAAGTAATAGGAGAATGCTACTCAATGAGGCTGAAGCATCACTCCAAATTGGGCACATCCTTGGAGTGAATTGTGAAGGTAAAGATGAAGAAATTCTCAACAAATTAATGGATTTAGAAGCACAGGACAAGGAAAAAATACGAAAAAGGGGTGGGGATGCTAGTTAAGCAGCAAACCTGGGTGAGTAGGAGCTGATAAGTGTTTTTTAATGAAGCTTTTATCTTGGAATGTAAGAGGGTTAGGAAGGCCTAAGAAAAGGAGAGAGATTAGAAAAGTTTTTTGTGAAAGAAGGATTGATATGGTGCTATTACAAGAAACCAAGAGATCAACAATTGATTAAAAGTTTGTCAGATCAAGCTGGCGCCGAGACCAAATGGATTTCATGGCAGTTGATTCAGAAGGAGTTGCTGGTGGTCTGTTATGCACATGGAACCCATAAGTGTTTCAACTGGTGGATTGCTGCAGCAATAGGAACTTTATAATCTTATCAGGCACTCTCTATAATAGTTTCGATTGTGCGATATTAAACATTTATGGTCCAAATGATATTGGGATAAGAAAGAAGGTGTGGGATAGCTTGGTTCGATTAAATTGTTATACAATAAACCGTGGTGCTTGGGAGGGGACTTTAATGAGATAAAAAATATATCATAAAAGAAAGGGGTGTTCTTGGAGAGATAAAGGTATGCGGGAGTTTAATGGGTTGATTGATAAACTTGAAGTGGCCGATTTACCAATGATGGGGAGAAAATTTACCTGGCGTAATTCTCAGGAGGGGGAGAAGTGGAGTAGAATTGACAGATTTTTGCTTAATCCAGAATGGCTACAATGTTTAATTTTAAGCTTTGAGGGTTGCCAAGGAAGGTCTCAGATCATTGTCCTATTCTGTTGATGGAGGATGAGAGAGATTGGGGTCCCAAACCATTTAGATTTCTAAATGCTTGGACCCTACATCCAAAGTTCAGATCTTTTGTGGAGATTACGTGGGCAGAAGCAAATGTGGAAGGTTGGGCTGGTTTCAAGTGTTTACAAAAGCTCAAAAAATTAAAACTGGCATTGAAACTTTGGGCTAAGGAAGTTTTTGGTGATGTGGAGCATAAACTCAATGAGGTTGAAGAGGAGATTCATACTCTTGATATAATTGTTGAAGAAAGACCATTATCTGAGGCAGAGAAAGCGAGAAGAAGATAGGCAAAAGGTCAAGCTTGGAAACTAAGTAATGGTGGAATGGGTATGGATTCAAAAATCTTGAATCAAGTGGACTACACAAGGAGATAGGAACACAAGATTTTTCCATATTATGGCAAGTTCTAGGAAAAACAGACTGGAGGTTAGAGGGACTGTTAAGGAGGATCCTGTTAAGGAGGATCCTGTGGAGGTTAGAGCTGAAGTAAAACAACATTTTATTAAACAATTTTTTGAACCATGGCTTATTAGACCAAGGCTATCTGGGCCTTTCTTATCCATTGGGGGTAGAGAAGCTGTTGAGCTCTTAGAAGTTGAGTTTTCAGAAGCTGAGATTGAAGCTACAGTGAAGAGCTGTGAAGGAAACAAGGCACCTGGACCTAATGGGTTTAATCTTGTATTGTTTCAAAAGTGTTGGAAGGTTATCAAGGCAGATGTGCTTCAATTCATGAAAGAATTTCATCAAAATTCAAAGTTGGTAAAAGGTATTAATAGCTCTTTTGTTGCTTTGATTGCTAAGAATGAGAACCCCTCTAGTTTGAATGACTACAGGCCTATTAGTCTCATTGGCTCTTTGTATAAAATTTTGGCAAAAGTATTAGCCAACTAAATCAAAAAAGCGCTGCCACGAATCATTAGTGCTACACAATCAGCATTTATTGGGGGCAGAAACATCTTAGATGAGGTGTTGATAGCCAATGAGATTGTGGATGGCTGGAAGAAGAGTAGAAAGAGTGGAATTGTCCTAAAGCTAGATTTTGAAAGAGCTTATGATTCAATCAATTGGAATTTTCTATTTACTATGCTTTCAAATTTTGGTTTTGGAGATAAATGGGTATGCTGGATGAGGGAGTGTGTATCTTCAGCCAGAGTTTCAATATTGGTAAATGGTTCGCCAACCTCAAAATTTAGCTTGCAAAGAGGTCTTAGACAGGGTGACCCACTATCATCCTTTCTTTTTAACATTGTGATTGAGGGACTAAATATCCTACTGGCACTACTAAAAATCAGACTTTTTGCAACAGTTTCAAACGTCACAAAAGGTCCATATATCGTTGCAAAAAGTCTTTTGCAACGGAGCAGCGACGGGAAATGGGGGCTCGCAGAAGCGGGCATGACAAAAAGTATTTGCAACGGTTACAAACCGTTGCGTTCTTGTAGCGACGGCTAATCAATGGTTTTTGTGACAGTTTAACCTGACACAAAAAAGGAGAAAAAACATCACTTTTTAGTGATGATATTGGTTGTCGTTGCCAAAACTTTTTTTGCGACGATATTTGACGTCGCGAAAAGTATTATTAGCGACGGTCTAAAACGTCACAAAAAAGCAAAATTAAATTAATACCATGTTTGCGACAGTTTAAACCATCGCTAAAGATTTAAACTAATATGTATATACTACAGGTTAACCCGTTGCTAATAAAATGTAAAGAAATGATGATTACATTAGCGACGGTTATTATTGTCGCAATAAAATTATTTTCATAAAATCAATATATATTTTATTAATTCATTCCCTGTGCAAATTATTAATATTTTCTAAAATAAAATATATCCACATTCATATTCACAAAATCATACGTATATATTTACCCTGCAACAATTATCAACCAAATATTCTTTACAAAAATATATAAAACATTCTCTAACAATACTATTAACTTTTGATATTCAATAACTTAAATTTTTGTATCTAAAGCAAAACAAAAGCATCGGCAATGCAAATAAAAAAACATATATATTATAGTTTGTTTTAACATCAACAGTAAGCTCCAATATCGATATGTGAAGAGATCATCACGTACTCAAAAGGGATTGCATCTGCAAAACGAAACACAAAAAAATATCATTTATAATATAATTAATTTTAAGCTTACAGAAAATGCAAAACAATTAATATTTATTTCATTAAATTGGCAGAGAACCTTGTACCGGACAGTTCCCTTTTTCAGGATAAATGGCTAATTAAATTTTTAGAAAGCTCAGAACTGCAGTATCATGGATGTCTACCAGGTGAGAGACAAGTATTGCCAGAAATAAGTGAACTAATTCCAATCACTGCAAGGGCTTCCATGGTTTAAAATTCCCCAAAACCCTGTGTTATAAACTCAATTTTTTGGGCACAAACTTCACTTGACTTCCATACATTCTGTTAATGACATAATAACCAATTTTTGAATTCCAAGGAATACATAGTTTTATGTGACTCCATACCATGGACAAATCGATCAAGATGTGTGA